GTTCGGGTCCCCGTGGCCGCCACACAGAGGGCCACGTGGTGGCCTCTCCTGTCAGGAGCCCAAAGGGTGAGTGAACAGGACCAAAGGAGATGGAGGTAGGTCTTGTGCAAAAGGGAGGGGGAGATGAGGCGGAGGTGAAGATGTGTCCTGGGCATGTGCCAGCTCCTCGCGAAGGATGCAGACATGCACCAAGAAAAGTAGAAATTAAAGAAAAATGGCCAGTGCCGCAGAAATCTGGGTACCAAGGCCTGAGGGAAAGAGTGACTACACAGGAGAGCAGTGACTATCTTTGCATCACTGGAAGGCAACATGACCTGTGCCCCTGGAGCAGACTGAAGGGCTCTTCCTGGCTGTGAGGCATTAACAAAACAAAACCAGACAACAAGCAAACAGTGAGACAGCATTGACCTGAACCTTGCCTTGAATGAAATTAGAGCTAACTTTCAACTCTCAGATCTAGGAGCTAGGAGAGGAGCAAGCTGGAGAATCAGATGTAGCACATCTTGCCTACATCTGTCAAGTCTAAGGACACAGGAGGAGGAGAAAGGATGGGAGGACTCTTAGAGATTAATGGGAATTTAAAATCTTAACTATCAAATACGATGATCAAACGTCCAAAATATCTGTTTGGATCTGGAATTGAACAAACAGAAAGTATATGAAGTAACAGATTTTTGAAGTAATTAGGTAGGGACTGGGAATCCGTGATACAAAGAAGGTATGGTTAATTGAGTTGTGTGTAATGATGATTTTGAGCTTATGTAATAAAATATGCTTTTTTTTAAGACATGAGATTTTAGAAGTAAAATGATATGATGTCAGGATCATAAAAGGAAGTAATGAGGAAAATGGTAGCCGTCAGGGAGGTGAGACAAAAATTTCTCATTGAACTAAAGGAGGAGGTGTTTAGGGGATTCAATACACACACACACACACACACACACACACGATAAGAATTTATCATAAAAAAATATCTTCACCAAATTGAGAGATAACATTAGCTCACAGATTTCCTTAGCACCGAATTACTTTGGGGCTTAAGGAAGTAGTGTAACTGGGCTTACATATAATAAGATCCCAGACCCGGTCACTGGTACAGAAAGAAAGAAGGCTTAGACAATTACTTCTTGGCAGACTAGAATGAAATACATTCATTAATACTAAAGAATTCTGGGAGAAAATGGGAGCAGAGAGAAACAGGTGAATGGAAGGTTACTTTTGATAGAAAAATGATTTTACGAGCAAAGTTCTTCTAGTCAATAAAGGGACGACACTTGTCATTTATTCATGGATTATTCCGAGTGATATGCAGACAAAGTACATGTGTTTTATGGATCTTTGTCTCAGATATCTGGAATTTTGTTTTTGTTCTTTTTTTTTTAATCTAGCATGTACTGGTACCTTGGTTGACCACATTCGTTCTTTTCCTGATTCTGGTCATAAACTGAATTGGATTATAACAGAATCAAATTTAATCACTAGGTTTAATGTTGAGCTTATGTGGAAATTTGATTCTGTTCTTGTCCAATTTAGTTTGCAACCAGAATCGTGGAAAGAATTAGATTCGTGAACAAGGTACCACAGTATTTTCTGAAACCAATTGAGAGAAATATTTGAATAAGTCTAGGTCTTCCAAGAATTGGGCTTCCTGGCACCTCTCTTACCTATCAGTCAAGACTTTGTTTTTGTTTTGTTTTGTTTTAAGCTTTGATTTTTCCAGATGAAATTTCAGAGCAAAGAATGGCTCCTCATGAACAGAAAAATATCTAAATGGCTTTGAGCCTGTCATGGATCTACAGAGATAATTTTAGAAAATTTGCTAAGGTGTAAAATCACAAGTCTACAAACATTTTAGGCTTAAGCAACACCCTGTTTTCATGGTAAAATCAATGAAGCGAATCATATAGAAAGCATAGTAGAGACTTAAGAAATTGTGTTTAATCTGAATCCAGTTAGCTGGATGATGCCACAACCCAGACCACCCATTTCCATCAGCATTTCTTAAACCCCATTGTTTAGAACACTGCATGGAATGTTAATAGATGTTCCTTTAAAAGAGAAGTCCATGATAAAAATCAGTGTTAAAAGAGAAACAAAAAATATATTTATTGCCACAACAAGACCACCCTGGGTGGCCCCTAGGCATCTCTTAACCTATTTAATTTGTAACCTAGAATTTCCCTCATTTCACTCTTTTGTGGAGGAAAGAATCCCTAAAGTGTGTGGATGGTGTCCTGCAGGTGAGCTGTCCATCTGCACTGATTACCGAGCTGTTGGGAAATTTCTATTCTGCATTTTGCCCAAGCACAGTGGTACTGGCTTTGCCAAAATCCATTTCAAGTTAAATTTATTAATTCTTTAATTCATGCAAAACATGAATTTTAAAGACAATCAAAATATCTTTTGATGTTTTTATTAACAGATAAGCACACTAGAGATGTATAAATCCAGTTGAATCATGATTACCAACCATACCACCAGGACATAATAGATTCAGGCACTGCGGTATAATGTGTAACTGTGCCTGTGTAATCGTATTAGCTTTAGAAGCTGATGCCAGAAAATCTCAGAAAGACATCCAAAAAATGAGTAACTAGAACAAAGGAAGAGTTATGGAGAGGTACTGATTTACCTGCAATAGAATTTAAAATAGAGCCAAATATTGTAAGGAAAATTGGCACACAGAGAATGGTGCGTTAAATATACATTTTTAAAAATTGGATCATGGCACTGAGAGCCTGTTATCTTTCCAAGTAGCAACTTCTGTGTACAAACAGTTGTAATGATATCACGTTAGCACCCAACACCTTAATTCATGAATGCAATGTGGCTCAAAATGACATCCTTCCAAATTATATTCAGTGAGAAGTCTGCTAAGTCGTAATTAGTCTATACAAGGTGGTTTACTCTATACCTCATTGCCAATTTTTTTAAAAATGTGCTTCCTGAAAATCACAGGAGTAACCATTAAAATACAACAAGCAGCTGTTGCTCTATAATGTTCTAAATGATGCTTTAACAGCAACAAGGGAGGCTTCTCTTGGCTATGAGACAGACACCGCACACAGCTCAGATTCATTTGGTCCTGACTCCACTTGGATTGCTGGTCTGGACCTAGCAGCCACACAAGCCGTAGTTCAGTGCAGCTGGCTGTGTGGAGAAATGTCGTTAGCACTCTCGCCAGTGAGGTCCCCCTACCCTGAACAGCATTGAGCTTCAGAAAATCCCTAGCACAACAGTAAGTGAGATGGAGACAGCTATAATGTTCTGTTGGGACTCTGCCGGCCAAGGGCTGCACCACCCAGGGCTGGGAAGGAAGTGTCCCCGCTGCTAGGCACAGGGGATCAAAATGTCTGAACAGTTGCTGTCAAGGCCAGGAAGAGTCTGACCTGTATGCTAGCCAGGGATTTTATTTCTCCTGACCTCATATTTGCATGTGAAAGACTCTACAACAGAAAACCCCTGTGGTTTCTCTCACCTCACTGCAGGGAAAGAAATTTATTGCAGAGGTCACCTTGGAGCAAGGAGCTGAGCAGAGTGATCAGCCCTTTCTAGCCTTGTTCAGATCGTGCTGGCCCAAGAGAAGGATCCTCTGGTCACCCCCACCATGCCATAGTGTCCTGGACACCTGCCTGGGGCTGCATGGGTTACCTAAGTCAAGACCCGAGAATTATCAGCTGCAGATTCCAACTAACTTGCTCCACTTAGCTTCATCCAAAATAAAGCACTTCTTTCCTTCTTTATTTCAGTTTATCTGTGCCTTGCCTGTCATCTATAAGGTTCTTAATTTAGCAGAGCAGGAAAAGAGGGTAGCACACGATGATCTCTGAGCATCTTCGCTGTCCCTGCTCTTGGCCCTCCCTGGCTGCCTCCTTCCTCTGACAAACAGCCCCCTCCTGCCCTCTTCATTCATCAAGAGCCACCCTTCCCCTCCATCAAGAGTTCTCCTTCTTGTGTCTTGACTCCTCTAGAGCCTGACTGCAGCGACCAAGCCAGGGGATTGATCACAAAAGTCAGTCCTAGCCGGGGATTAGCTCATTGGTGCTGCCACCACCTGCCTCCAAAGCGCCTCAAAAGCACAAGGTCGGGAGTTAGATCCCCAGTACAAAAAAAAAAAAGAGAAAGAAAAGCTAATCCCAGACCCGGCCCCTGCTGGACCATTGCCTGAGAGTCCTGGAGCTTTAAGGCTCCATAGCCAAGCATTGTCTGAAGAGTCTGCTGCACGACCAAAACAATGCAGTTTACTGTCATTGGTGAGACTCCAAAGACAGAGGAAGCAAAGCTGTGTGACCTCATCTCCCAAGAACAGAACTCAGGGTTTCTTTTCATACCGCTGTTCTCCAAAACCATACAAAGGGAACTCTCCTCGAAGCCCAGCACATTCCCCTCCTTGCAGCTTACCTTTTATCCTGGTCTTCTTGGCTCTCACTTGCTTTGCTTACAGACAGCAGCCTCTTGTCTCGAGGAACCTGGAAACATCACCAGTCATCAGTGGGACAGACACAGGCAACAGCAAGCACAGGACGAGCTGGATGCTGGCATAAGCAAGAAAATGAAAATGGAAGGATCTCCGGGAGGGGGCGTGAGTTTGTGATTGTCAGGAGATGGTGAAAAGTGAGTACCCTGAGTGACAGTGATGGTGTGGGCAGAGATTGAGGGAGGTGATAAACCCACAAGGGGTCACAAAGGAACAGAACTACACTGCTGAAGCTACAATGCTTCTATGTCCTTCTCACCTTGGCAGCGGACAGAGGAAGAGGAGCAGTGGACCTGAACTTGGGTGTCTTTGAGCAGACAGAAAGCATCACAGAGTGACAGGGAGCGTTCTTTACAGGAACAAGGATAGATCCTCCTCTCTGAAGAGAACTTTCAGTACAGACATAAGGTAGGGGCAGGAAGTTGGGCAGAGGCAGCACTGTCAGCAGTGGGGAAACGAACCCACACCACCCTTTAACCAGCCTTGCTACACAGCTCGTGGGTTTGGCGCCTCATGTGTTTTCCTAGGCGCTTTCACCATTGTCCTAACCATCAAGTTCATTGCACCTGAGACCTAACTGAGAGCTGCTACCTGAGACGGACCTGGCAGCTGGGCTTCTGACTCCCATCCAGTGACCCACCTGCATCATGGGTCCTTACTGGGCAGAGTTCCCAGATACACCAGTAGGTTGCTATGGATTGGTTGGTTGGGTTGGATTTTTTAACTTGTTTATTAATGTTTTGCTAAACCTCTGGATCTTCCTTTTGAGATGAAAGCACATTTATAAGATCCCTCTACTGGATTCTGAGCAGTTCCTCAGTCTTGCAATTACCTGAATACAGATGCAGAGAGGCTAGACAGGAGGGTGACAGAGGGGGTAGCCAAGAGCCCAGGCCTGGCCCTGATTGCTTGGGTTCGACTGTAGCGCTGCACTGACTCCATCCCACCTTCCTCATCTGTTACCCAGGCTTAGTGATAGCCCTGAGTTAAATTTTAAAGCACTAAAGAGTCTCTGGTGCTTTATGTGTTGAAGGATAAATCAGTTATAGGCCTTTTATTCATATGTCAATTTTGAGAGTCTGCAGTGTCCCAGGCATTGCTAAGTACCAGGTAGAATGAGTTGAGTAAAACACCATCCCAGTCGTGTACTGAAGATGACAGTTGATATAAAGTTTCAGTATCCAGTACATCAATGTTCATTACAGCCTTATTCACAGTAGCCCAAAGGTGGAAATAACCCAGGTGTCCACTAGCCAATGAATGGATAGATGACATGTTGTATATCCACGCAAGAGAATATTACTTAGCCTTAAAAGGAATGAAATGCTGACACGTGCCTTACTATGGATGGACCTCGAAGACGTAACCATAGATTAAAATAAGCCAGACACAAGGACAAATAATATAAGGTACCCTGAAAGTCAAATTCAGAGCAACAGAAGGTAGAACAGAGGAGGAATTAGTGTCAGGTGGGTGAAGTCTCAGATTGGGCGGATGAGAGAGTTCTGGAGATGGTTGGTGGTAATGGTTGCACAGCAGTGAGTGAACGTGCACTTCAAAGTGGCTGAAGTGATACGCGTGTTATGTACATTTTAAAAGTGATGAGGAAGTAGTGTTCCCAGCCTTGCCCCTGTGCACCCTGCAGTTTATCAAGCGGCCTACCTGGACCACCCTGGAACCAGCCTGGCTCCTGGCTTTCTCCTAATAGCACTGCAGGAACTCAGTCCTCAGTGATGGGAAGTAGGGCTGAGGAAGGATGCCCAGGCACGGGGGACCCTTCAGGACGGTGCTCCAGAGAAGCTGAGCAGGAATTTGTCTGCTGGATGGGGAAGGCTTTGTAGCCACAGGAATTGCTTATTTTTAAACTGAGGATGTGACAGAGTAATGAAGTCATTGCTGGGGGAGTGAGATTCGGCCCTGGGTACAATATTGTGCTCTCTCTTCCCTTCTGTGCCCCTCTGACGGCACAGCCGCATTCTCTTTCACTGTCAAGCATCCTTGCCCCCTCCCCTTGCAACTAGGGCATGAGCCAGGTTCCCTGTGTCTCTGGAATGCACTCTCCAGGCTCAGCCTTGGAACTTCTTGCTGCTGTGACAGTCACCTGAGTTGTCTCCTGTATCCTTCAATCCACGAGTGGTCTTAAAAATGCAACTCTGGGGCCTGGGGATTTAGCTCAGTGGTTCCGCCACCTGCCTCTCAAGTGCAAGGTCCTGAGTTCAATCCCCACGCCTGGGGATAGCTCAGTGGTTCCGCCACCTGCCTCTCAAGTGCAAGGTCCTGAGTTCAATCCCCGGTACCAAAACAAAAACAAAAACAAAAAACTCTGATCAACTCTGATCTCATGCTGCTGCTTAAAACTCCTCTGTGGACCCAGGAACCACATTTCCTGTAACCAGGCATTTCTCCTTTTAACAGTGGAGCCCTCCCTCAACATCTTCTCTGTCTGGAATTCAGCCCCGCCTCCTATGCCTTTTCCACATTTACCAGGACCATTTACATTCTGGATGTACCATATACAGGAGCAAATTCCCTGTGATGAGTGTTAGCAGTATGCATGCCTAAAATGTACCAATAAATGTTTTTCTATTAAAAAATAAATTTCTATGTCCATGAGAAACATGCAATCTCCATGTGTGTTGACCCTGTGCACAGTTAGGTCCCCAGTACCAGGAATGTACTAGGCCCTCACTAAATAGGAAAAGAATTAATCTATCAATCAAAATGGCCTGCAAAGGGCAGAACTAAAAAAGTAGAAGAAATGCATCCTAAACACTAGAACATGTTGGCAGTTCCCAAAGATCCTTGGCAGTGAAAGTTCCTGCTGCCATCACTGATGCGAAGTCACAGCGCTCAAAGCAGTGGGCTTGCTTCAACACCAGCCTCTCTGAACCAAGTTTATCATTGGCTTTGCAAACTTCAGAGAAATGGAGACTTTTGAACTCAGTACCCTCTGTTAAGTGCTAGACCCACATCACTGTCTGTCAGGCGCCTCTACCTGGATACCCTACAGCACATCAGGCCACAGCAGTTCCCTGTCCCCCAAAGCCTGTCTTCTCATTGCTATCTGGATCAGCTGAGAAGCATCGGAGACACCTTGCTCGTAGTTATTGGCCCCCACCAGCAGTGTACACATGCACAAAGACAACTGGTTTTTGTTTGAACAGATACTCATTTCTCAAGCTTACTTTGTCTTTATGTGAGGCCTGTTCTAGTGGCTGATTTAGGGGGAAGCTTCATGAATGCTGGCCCGGGGAACCTCTTCTCCCACCCTTTTTTTGGGTCTTCATCACATTTTACCTGGTCTGTTGGAATGGGCTGCTCTCCAACTAGACGCTGGGCCCCCAGCCTTCCTCTCTGCAACTGCTACTGTAATCTGTGTGGATAATTGGCCTCATCTAGAAGGCCTAAGACCCAAATTCCTCAGTAGAGGAAATTATGAAAAAAATGGTGGATTGCAAACACTCCCTTTTCTTCTTTCCTGCATTTTCTATAGTGGATTTGTACAAACTTAAGATGAAAACCTGATACATCAAAACATCGATTTGTGTACTTTACATATAATTTCTCTTGGTCAATAAGGCTGAAAGAAAAGCTGATTTAAAAAATATTTTTTCAAATCTTATAGATATGTATCAGATCACTTATTTGTTCATGTGTTCATTCATTCATCTGTCTTGCAAAATGTCCACCAGACCGTGCACCCTGTTCTGGGAAATAGAGCCCAGTCTACAGCCTGCCTGGCAACATTCCACGACAGCCACTTTCTGACCAAGTTTAGCCCCCTCAATCGCCAGCCTTGGTTCAATCCTGATCACTTGGTTTCACTGTGTGCAATCCAAGGTTTTATACCCTATGTGTTCTCCTCTCCATCTCCTTTTGCATGACATGTTTTCTGCTCGCCTGTCCACCGGCAGATCCTCCCCTATTCCTGGTGGAGAAGGCGTCCCTTCCTCTAGAAAGCTTGTGGATTCTCTAGAAGTTGCCATTCAATGTACTGGTCCTGGAGCACACCCTTTTACACACTTACCTCCTGGCCTTGTGGTTACAGGTTTATTGGGCCTGTTCAATATGGACTATGACTCTGTGACTTTTCTGAGGTTTTGCAATCTGCCTTTGGATATCCAATCCATCCCATAATGCCCATCACTTTTGCTGGGAAATGATAGCTAATTAGTGAATATTGAATGGTGGATGGATGGATTGATTACCCAAAAACTGCTTTCCAACAATATCAGATCTACAGAAGGGATAGGAACCAATGGATGAGAAACACACTTTAATTAGGGCTAGAACCATATGATTACAAACCACAAGCTCTCTCAAAGGAAAAAATACCAAGCAAATTAGTTACTGTGGTTTTAATGTGTCACCCAAAAGTTCACATGTTGGAAACCTATTCTTCAAATTCATGTTAGTGGTGTTTGGAGGTAGACTCCCTGGGAAGTAGTCAAGATTAGATTAGTACATAAGGATGGGCCCCAATGACAACAGTAATGACTTTACAAGAGAAAAAAAGGCCCAATCTCTAATGCTTGATGCGTGATGTCCTTCACCACGTCATAAGGTCAGAAGGAGGCTTTCATTGACGTACAGTGGTACCTCAGTTCATAAATGTAATTTATCCTGCGATTCTAGGGAGATGGACCACATTTATTTTGTCACCCGATGCAAAGCTCATGAATGGAAGCAAAAATTTGCCAATCACTTCTGTTGCAAACCAAACTGTTCATGAATAGAAGCATTTGTGAACCAAGGTACCACTGTACAGTAAGTACCGTGCTACTAGGCCTTCCAGCCTGTGGAATCATGAGCTAAACAAATCTCTGTTCCTTATAAATGGCCACACTGTGGTATCCAGTCATAGTGACAAATGGACTAAGACATAAGTCAAACCACTTTTTAAATATGTAACCAATGAAACCTGGCACGTTTCTATCATGCGCAGAATTCATGGAAAGGTCACACTTTGGAATTGCCACTGGTAAGTAACCTCAACTAGGTAGGAAACTGTGATAGAATTTTGATTCCCCAGATTATGAGAGAATCTATAAACGTGTCTTTTTAAATAAATATCACTTAATTAGCAAACAACATACTTCACCTGCATAGTTTGAAACCAAAACCTTTTCCAAATGGGTTCAAATAAGACATTTGAAAAGATAGTAGATACTGTAATGAAAGGAATATTAGGAAACAGATTTGTCCCACAAAATCCCACTTGGTTGTCTGGACTATGAAATCTAAAAGGTTCATGAGTTTCATGATCTTACAGTGACAGTTAAAAATGCAGACAAAAAGACTGAAGTTTACAAAGAACCATACAAAGATGTGCCTTTGTCAGTTTGGAAGGACAGGGCCACCATCCCTTGTGGCACAGATTCCTCTCTCTCACACAGCACACTAAGGTCCCTTCAGGGTTCACAGAGGTGAGGAAAGACAGGATCAATTCCCACTTCCAAAGAGGTATGACAAGTCTGTAAAATTTAAATCATAATGTGACAGTCATTGTTACAATAACTTCCCAAAGTTTACTCAAGAAAAATCACTTTTTTATTAACATGTCCCTTTGTGATAGAAAAAAAAGATCTACACAAGGCATTTAACTTCATTACAATTCTGACCTCAGCATATATAACCTGTGAACACCCAAAGGACTGCAAAGGCCTCAAAATAATCATTTGATCATAGTCCAGTCCTTTTAGAAACTACCAATTTTTCACATAGGCACTAAGTGTTTCAAACAAAAAGCAATTCTTTTGTGAAACAGATGGAACCATTATGAGTCTTGGAATTAACTATACAGAAAGACTTGTACAGTAGGCTACAATTCAGGTTTTATGTAAAGTTTCTACATTGCATCTCAAAATATTTACAGAATGCAATATTTCAACTTTCCTTGAAATGGTAGCAAATGTGCAAGAGGAGAAGTTACCTAGGTATTGTATCTCAATACCTTTTTATCCTATTTACTAATACTTGTCGTCTGAACCTACAGGAGATACATTGCTTTTGTAAATTAATTACTAATTAATTTTGTTTCAGAGTAAATTTTTTCTAATCAAAAAATGCCATCAGACAAGGGGAAAAAATGAGAATCAAGGCCTATTATGTAAAGGTACAGGATCCCAATAATGAATGTAACTGTATTGTATACCTAGATTGTACCAATAAACTCAATAAAAAGAAAAAAAAGACATCAAATACAGATATCTGAAATTGTGTTCATTTTACAATAGAATAATATATTTTTAAAGAATAAGATCAATATATTTCTTCCAAAGATATAAATATATTTCTTTAAAGCCAAATTAAAATTATTAACTTACATGTTAATTTAACGTAAAAGAAAAAGAAACTGTGATGAATAAATCAGGGTCATTTTATGATATGGTAATAGATTTTTTTTAAATTAATTATTTTCTCTTATCAAGGAAACTGACTTTTCAATTTCTTTCTTAAAATAAGACCAAAAATAGCTGAGCCTACTTTGGACACAAGGGAGTCCAATCCAATGAGTTCTGTTCTGTGCCATCCTCGGTCATTTTGAATGCATTCACCTCAAAACATTTAGGATTTATCCTGTGTTTTTCAAATGCGATCCTCAGTCAGAAAGGGTTTATAATATAAAGCAACTGCCAACAGGAAAGAAGAAAGAGCCTACCACAAAGCTCAGTTTTCTGGCTTATTTTTCAAGCGTAAATTGAAAGACCATTCCGGGCCTCAAGCATCCTTTCATTCAGACCCTCTGCTCCCCAAAGTTAAAGTCCCTTCTTGCTGCAATCAGGAGTCATGTTGGAAGTTTTATATCTTCACCAAAGGGCTATCGACCTTGCCAAATCTGGCTCTCTGGACAAGACAGGAAAAATCAGCCTAACCCAGCGGAGGGACATGAAATACCATTTGGGGTCGAAAGTGCTGCAAGGCTTCCACTAAAGTGTTTCATGGAACAGTCCCTATAGAACAGAGAACTCTAGTGTACCTAAATGCTTCCTATAAAATTGAAAAATCTAGAGGCAACCTAAATACCCAGCAAATAAGCAACAGTTACAGTACGGCACACCCACGCCTAAAACCGTAACTATAAAGGAGAGGTGACATGGAGGAAGCATTGGTGTTTAGGGCTGAGCAAGGTTTATATGTGAATAACGTTTTTTCATGGAACAAAGGGCACAGAGAATAACCGTCCGGAACCAAAAGTTCCTTTGGGAGAGTGAGAAGTTGGGCTTCAAGGACAGAGAAGTGGGGAGCAGGCAGGCGGCGGGACCCACCTTGTAGTAGTCGTAGAGCAGGCCGAGGGCAGCGGCACTGTCCTCGTCACCATTGATGCTCATCATGGCCTTGGTGGCCGCTGTCAGAGGGTTCTCCAAGTACGACTTCCAGGCTTCATCCTCGCTGGTGTAAGCCCTTCGGGTGTTGAATGGAGGGTCGCTGGGCATTGGCACTAAGGCCACAAGTCTTTTATTACTGTGAAAGTGAAAGAGATGTGAGGCTTATTATCGAGTAACTTCCCTTTTCCCCACAAATAATGCACTTTAGGAAGCTGGCAGTGCTGACCCATATGTTATCCCGGCACAGGAAGATGGGCGTGAGTTAGAACTCAGCCTTGAATACACAGTAGTTTCAAGGCCGGCCTGAATTACACAGTGAGATCCTGTCTGAAAGCAAACCAAAAATCCACACTTCACGTGATTCCTAGCATTGATTTGTAGTTTCCAGAATGGAGGAAAAGCAAGAGGAAATTAAAACTAAAGTGACCATCACATTTCACTTAGAAAATCACTGATTTATTTTCTCACCAGTCTAAGAAATTGATAGTAGTATTTTAAAAGTAGTATAAGTAGCATACATTGGTCCCCTTCAAACTTGGTTTTCTCTATGAGATCATTCCAAGTCATTTTATTTCATTATTCACTGAGAGAGGTTTCATTTAACTGAGTTCTAAATATAAGTAAGTATACAACATTAAATGTAATCAATGTTAATAATTACTAAAATTGTATTTATCTAGCTTTTGCTTGAAAGCACTAGCAAATCTGAGTCTCTTAATTTAAAAAAAGCAATATAAGCTACTCGGCAAACACAGCGTGTCATACAGATGATACTGCACAAGTGATGCGATGGACTCGGGATCCTCTCCGTACGAATGGGGTTCGGACTCTGCCTGCACCCCCAAGAAGCCCTAGGTAATAATTATGGAAAAAGAGGAGCACATCTGGAGAACTCTCAGTACAGACAGAAAGGGGCTGTGGAAAACAGCACAGGACAGGAAAGGCCACTCTCCGCTGGGCCTGAGCTGAGCGGGGGTTCCGCAGCTGCACACTTCCGGCCATGTTGTCACTCGGCGTGGTAATGACTTCAGCAGCCAGGGACCATGACAGCCCTTGGCTGAGAACCAAGAGGTCAAGGAAAAGAGCCTCGAGAAGGTTAGCCACTCCCTCCCTGGCCCTTTTGCCTATTCAATGAAGTGGAACTGAAGTGCAGCAATGAGACGTAGTGTTTGGGGAACACCTACTTTGGCACACGGAAGCCTAATGTGGACAAGCGACAGGGCCGTGAAGACAACACCAGCGGTGATCCAAGGGAGCATGGCTGCCAAGCCCTTCTGAGCTCCTGTAGGAGCTTCCAATGTGGCTGTGAATTGGCGTGAGCCCTCAATGCAGAGTGTTGAAGGCCCTGTGTGTGCTGGATGAGGCCCTGCAGCCTGTCAGTGCAGAGAATCACACTGGTGTTGGTAAGAGAGACTTACCGAGGAAAATGAGTATTTAGCAGAGCAGAATTCTAGGCTAGATGGTCTTTAGGCCTCTTGAGCTCTTTGTGTCAGTGGCTTGGTGGAACTGATTAGGAAGAAAGAGAGAACGCTGACCCAATTGCAAGTGAATTGGATTAAAATGTATAATCAGGTTTCTCGGAGTAAATAGAAAAGCCCTGATCAAAGGACTCACTAATCACTGGCACTGTGGTGTCACAGAGTGGTGTGGGCCTCGCAAGTGAATCCCCGCTCTGTCTTCACAGTGGCAGGAGCTGCTTCCGTCTCACCTGCCTTAGGTGGGGATAACAATGCCCACTGTCCTTTCCTTCCCAAGTGTTCGTGAGGTGGAACAAAACAATGGACAAAACAGTGCCGTGCAAGTCACAGGCATGCCTGCCAGTGCACAGTTCTGTGCTCCTGCAAAGTTCATGCACACATCCACTTTTGGCAGAATTGGCTCTCATTTAAAAGTGCTAAAGATAATCATTAACTAAAGGGAAACCAGAGTTGTTCATTTGGCAGTGCCGTAAGTGTTTCCTGAGCCCAATGGGCAGGCAGACGGTGAATGTGGGGAGCTGAAGGAGACAGACACTGCCCCTGACCCCACATGGCCAGAGACAGAGCCACCCCTCCCAGGCGGGTGGCCTGGTAACCTGCACACGGAGGGCTTCTGCACCCATCTGCTGGTCAGTGCTGAGAAGGGGCAATGCAGGACTACTTCTTAAGGGAGGAGTGTATGCAGTAGTACAGATCAACAAAGGTTTCTTACAAAGGAGCACATTTTTATTCATTTTTGGAGAGCTTGCTGGAAAGATGTACACATTTTAATCTAAAGGTGAAACAGCATCTCCATGTTGTACACAGTTGCTAATCACAGGACGGAGGTGGACCCGCAAAGAGTAAGTAAACGTGGCGGGCTCGGTCCTAAGAATCTGTAGGCAGAGGAAGTGAGGCCTCTAGGGAGAGGGAGGGGTGGTGGGAGTCCCAGAGTAATGGTGTGCCCTCCCCTCTCCAGAGTTGTTTAGTTGGGGTCACCTTGATACTGGTCTTCGCCCTTCACTTACAGAGTGGAATGGGATTCTGGACCCCACTGGCTACCCACGAGGCCCGGATCATCAAGCTTACTTCCTCAAACGCCCAGTTCTACAGAGGGTCCAGGATTCATAAAAAGACCCAGATTCAGACTTCAAAGCAGGGTTCCCACCAACTGTGCATTGCTTTTGCATCATCATAAAGACACAAGATCATAGTCTAACCTCCTGTTCTTGAGATCCTGAAAGCGATGAGGATTTTGCTCTTGTCCACATCTGAGAGCAGTACTGCTGGGAGAGAGGAGCTATTAATTACACACTGGCAAATTCCCAGGAGTTAGCAGGAAGCCCATACTGAGGCCGCACAGCCAAGTCATGATTTCCACTAAGGAGTGTCCTAATTCACTGCACAGCTTATCCCTGAGTGTTCCTTAGGATCTCAACTCCCTCCTGCGGGGTCTCCCAGACTGATGACGCCATCTGTTCCAGGTACAGATGCCCATCCATGCATCTAGGAGATTTATCAGCCTTTCCCTGAAGAGGCAGCCATGGATGAATCTTCACAGAATACACAGAAAGAAGGGTTCTGCGAAGCCATCATTTTACTGGCCATTTCTTCTCACACTTATGGTGGCCCCATAGGGCTTCCCTTTAGTGATGGATATTTTCTTCCATTATAATCTCTCTGGTACAGAGCACTGTTGAATGAAGTTTGCTTTAATAAAAACAAAATAATCTCTCTGGTACACTGAGCAAAAATATAGACCTGAAAAGAAAGGAGAGTTCCTCAGAGCAGCTTATGCTCTTCGGGAGCGGTTTATCATTGCTGATCGGGACGACAGCTCTACTTCTGCTTAGTCTCTTAGCTTCAAGTGCACTACATCCCGTGTCACCTGAACACAGAGCTGTGAATGACTGCAGACTGTGTGCCTGGGTCCTTCCTTGGAGAAATACATAGATGAGTGGTACAGATGTCACAGCAAGGCTAAGGCTTTGTTAGGTCACACACATCTCCGTTTCCTTAAAACCATTTGTTGTCCTTGACCCACAACTTCATCCTGTGGGTGTGGGGTGCAAGGCTGGGAGATGAGTCATAAGCTGAAATAGTGAAGGAGACGGAGCAGCCTCAGGACTAAGATGCCAACCAACCAGTTAACCGAGGCTCTGATCCCTCTGCCAGGGATAGCCCACCTCTACCTCTTCTGCTCCGAGCATTAACAAGTCTAGTGTATGGAATGCTTAGCTGGGAAGAAGCCAGGGACACTTTCTACCTCCAAACATCCTCCAGGCGTCTTCACCTCCAAACATACAATCCCTTGTGCGAAATCAGTCGCCCTGTGTGTTGCACTCCAGTCTCGGCTCTTCACCGTCTAACTAGTCTCCGTCCTTCAACCCCTTTAATCCATATGGAAATCCCGTGGAGTACTCTTTGAGGACGTAATTTTCTAAAGTGCATTATGATCCAAAACTTCCTAGAAGTCCAAAATCCCCCATGTGATGTGCAAGGTCCTCTGTTATCCGCCTCCAATTTACTTCTCAAAATTTATTTCCCTGTACTCGCTAATGGAAGAATTGAGTTTCCTCTGCAGTTTCCTAAAGATTCCTGTACCTACCTCTCTGAAATTGCTGACTGCTCCCCTCCCTGAAATCACCTTCTTGCTTTTTTCTGATACCACTCTTATCTAAGTCAAACTGCAACATTCTGTCTCCAGAAAATGGTCTAGGATTTTTCCCTACTTTCAGAACTTCCATTTGCCAAGAACTTCTACAGCATGTGCATCATTTATTATATCACCCACTGTTTAATTTTTACCATGCAAAGGCTGCTGACTGCACAGACTGTCACTCAGCTGCTGGACCCACCCAGGACACCAAAGCTATTGCAGTAAATCCAACTCTAGCCACTCCTGTGCAGTCTGCAGCCTTAGTCCTGCCTTGTATTTCCAGCCTACCTGGCTTCACTAACATCTGCAGACTCCTCTTCCCAAGCTTTGCCTTTGGCTTCCTTCCAGAAATACCCATTTCTGTCCCATTCCCAACTGCAGTCACACACACACACACACACACACACACACACACACACACACACACACCAACTTCCCAGAGTAACTTTATACACCTAAACACCTACACTGGCAGTCATGTCTTCAGAGCATCTAATACAGACCTTTGTGAAGGTACCAGATTGTTTGTTTACAGAAAATGGCACACAGGTCCAAGATTCCAGTGCTGACCTGACACTTACTAGTCCTATTTATTACCTGTGTGGACCTCTGCTTCCTCATCTGTGGACAGGCGATTGCATGATTAGATTTAAAATGTAGACGATGTCACTAGCACAGAGCTAGGCACAGAGCAGGGCCCTCTACCTGGGCCATAGAAAGGGAAGAGCGAGGTGGCACAGGAAGCCAAACACCTTCTCTCCAGCCAACCCCACTCCCAGGCCACTTCAGATCTAGGCGGTTCTCAGCGCTTCCCCTCTGTTGATAGCAACTCCGTTCTCTCTGCAGCATGGGGACTCGCCCTTGATTCTTCGTGTTCTTACGCTCCTTAGAAAGTCCCACCCGTCCTGCCTTCAAAATAACTCCGGAATCTGACCGCTTCTCACATCTCAACTGCCAGCACCTGGCCGGGCCCTCCGTCCTGCTCTTGGAGTACCGCATCCTCTCCATGGCAGCCAGCAT